CAGTACGCTTACAGCTTGCTTTCTTTCTTTGGTTCAGTTTCGAGTTTCCTTCCGAGTCAGTCGAGTTTAGAAGTTTTGTTGAGTTTCCTTTTATTGACCAAAGTGAGGTCATTTTTTAGTTTGTTATTATCATTGAAGAAGAACGTTTTTAGTTTCCATATACAGTCCACGAATACCAGCCATCCGTGTGGTCTACTGATCGAATCAAGGCCACACCAATATATATATATATATACTAGCTGACCCGGCAAACGTTGTTTTGCTAGGTTAGGTATTTCTAAGCAACTTCTAAAAAATAAAAAAAATAATACTATATTTTAGGAGTGTAAAGATGTATAGTTTGAATGATACAGACAATGAGGTAATATAAACACAATAAACTCCAAAGTCTACTTGTATAATAATAAATTATATAATTTATAATAACGATACTCGTTTGACCATATTTTGTTAATACAATCAAACTGCAAGTTTTATACACTTTCTATAAAAATATGGTATAATTCAATCCAAGTCTTTTTTAATCTTTAGCCGCGGGTCAATGTTTAGTTGGTAATTTTTGCCCCACACAGATGTAAGTTTTTAAAGTGGTTATATAAAGAAAACTGTTGAATCTCACTCAAAATTAACATTACATTTATAAAACAATTAAATAGTTAAATTTTATATTAAGGTCTCGTGAACTAAATCACAGTGCTCACAACCCAAAAACTAACAACAAAAGGAAATACTTTCAATATGGATTTTCAAAGATTACCGTTTATCTCCTGATAGCAAAGTCATAAGAATCAAGGGTATAGCTGGTTATACATCTTTTCCCCTCTACTTTCAAATATTGTTGTTGAACAATGCTAAACTTTACTGGTTTTTGAGATATTGGTGGTGGATCTTATTAACCCCAGATCTTCATACATTACTATCCATTCTTCGATAAATTCATAGAAAATTTTTCCAGTTCATTCTTCAAAATTAATAGAAAATAACCATTAGTGAATTATATTTTACAGTGCATTATCCAATGATTGTTGAAGTTCTTCATCTTTTTCAATATCAATATGAATGATACTTGACTGTGTCTAAAATGCATGGATTTTGACATATCTTTCGAAAGGAATTCCCTCAGAACTGTCCATACATTAAATTGAATGCGAGCATTATAATCAATTTCAAAATATTTTATTCCAGAGAACTTGTAATTATGTGCATTCACATTTTTACAGATGTGTGTTCCAAAGTTATATTATCAACCGAATCTTCTTATTTGAGTAGTGGTCTGTCATATCTGGGAATAAGTTATTCGACAAAATGTCGCCTTTGATTGATTCCAAATTTAGGTTTTTAATTTAAATAATCTAAATAAAATAATAATATAATCTAGAAAATATTTTATAAATACTAATGAATATAAAATTATGCAACTAAGACTGAGCCCAATCCGTACAGCCATTTTAACGTTTTACCACGAATTGTTATATAGCTATATAAAATGGACATTTCTTCTTTATGAATTTGATTGAACATATGTACATTTTCAACATGAGTACATATTGTGATAAATTTCAATGTGCTTATTTTGATTTTCCTTTTTTGCAATCGTGTATCCAAATTAGTGGCATCTTTGTTATCACCATGACTTGTATGTAGTATGCTCGGGAAGTAATTGAGATTTTTATGAATATGATTTCTAAAATTACTATCTGTGTTATAATCCAATTTTCTTATTCATATCGCTGTCTATTATAACTTGCAATAAGTGATTAGACAGAAATGTCTATGGTGTCCCCTTCGATGAATTCCAAACTAAGGATCTCAATTTGAATAACCTAAATGCAATAATAATATAATTCATAAAATGTTTTGGTAACACATTATTCACATTAAACCAATAACTACTTGCACAGCACAGCGTTTGAAATAAAATTATTTATTTATTCTTTCATAATTAATCAATAAGAATAGTATTATTTCAAGCTGTTGATAAAAGAATACAAATAGGCAGTGAGCTAACACTTGAAAATTAAATAAAAACCTAATAAAAAATCAAAATAAGCATTCTTATTAACATTTAAAAATATATAAATAATTAACTTTTAAAATTAAAAGTATAACACATAATCTGTTCCAACTTGACAACCATCTATTTGACATGAGTAGGCGATACTCGATACATCTGTCATTTGAATAATATTGTGTGGGAAGCCATTTTGAATCAAGTGCTGTTTACCAAAAATTTTCAAATTAAAAATGTAAAGTTTCTACGCAGATTTGAAATATTATCTCACCTTTTGGACAATCTCTGGATTGGCACGAATTTTTCAAGACTAAGACTGGCCAAATCCATTCAGCCGTTTTCGAGTTTTATTCGGACATTTGAAAGACAGCTCCATTTTTATATATAAGATATATAATATATATATTAATATTAATTGTTTAATATGAACAAAACAGCACTCAGATTTTTTAGAACACAACTTTATTTTATGATTACAGACGTTTCGAGACCATGGTGTGTCTCATCTTCAGTGTAATTTCAAAAACAGTTACTTATATACTACACATTCTTTAATAATTTATTTAAATTTCATTTAATTTTTGATATACAAAAAACACCAACTATTCCTTGCAATGCTTGACACAGTACTGTGACATATGTATTAACAAAGTCTAGCGGGCATAACATAAATAAAAAACATGACTTTCTTTGAAAAATTTATTTAAAATCCATACGTTTCGGCTATAATTCTAGCCTTCATTCAGTGGTAACTAAAAATAAAATTAGAAACTAAAACAATTGAATTGGAGTGAAAAGAAAAAATAAAAAGTGTAAATAGTACTTACAATTAGTTAAGCTTAGTGTTAAATTTGAAGATTTTAATAATCCATGGTATCAGGATATGGTAAGGCACTACACTATGTATTATAAACATTAAACTTGTAATTACACAGTATTTTCACAAAATACGAATTTAAAAAATCACAAATGGATAGTGTGTTGTTCGTAGGCTGGTTTTCGATATAATGGAGAAAAGTCTTTTCAAAAAATATTTTTACCAAGATTCCACACATGTGTGGAACGAATTGCGAATCCTTTGCGCGACGTTTTTATTGTTTTGTGAGAAATTTGGATATGTTATCCAAATAAAAGAGATTTGTGTCGCACAGCGTGTTAAGTTCATTTTGTTTATTTATTGTCTTATTGTTATAAATAATTAAAAAAGATCCTTCTATAATTCTTCGTTTAAATAAATTTTGTTTGAATTGTAGTACAGTTGGGTTAGAAAAGTCCATATTGTGTTCGAAAGTATAAATATGGTCCGCAAGCATAGTTTTGTTTAATTTACTAGAAAACTTTAATAAGAAATTTAGCACTGCTTTTTTATATAAGCTGATCAATATCAGCCGTTTTTTTTTTAATTTTGTTCTTTATTTTATTTTTTTCAATGTGGAAAGTAGCAACACGTATGCAGCTTTGATATGTTTTACTCTTTTGATAGTTTTGATAGGTGGTAATTTTTTATGAATTTCATGGTTGAAATTAACAAAGGCCTATAAAAAAGTTGTCTGGATTGGGTGTGTGGCATGATTTCCGATGTATTTTCAATGAACCGCTGAATATAAATCTATAGTCAAAATTGAGACACAAAATATGGAAAAACATTTAAAAACTGGCACAATCTTCAATCTAGCATTTTTCTGAACGAATGAATTATTATCCAGCGACTTTTCTTTTGTGAACCTGTGGAATTGTTCGCACACATACGTATTTCTAAAAAAATAATTTATCATAATTTGATTTGAGTTTTTTTTTCAAAAGCGAAAATTTCTCAGGGCTGACGTGAGATTTATAAAAAAATTGCGAAGTTTACTGAAAAAATAAATTTTCTAAATCTGTATTATTTTGCATTGTAAATGGCGAAAAAACATTTACGAAAACACAGCTGTTTTGTTAGCTTTTGACCATTTGCAATCACAATTAAAATTTGTTCACATTTTCTTTTTCTGAAAATAAAATGTTAAATACAAGATACTACAAAAGATATTATTTTTTATTACCAATATGACGAAAGTACTATAATTGTTCTTTCATATCCACAAACAATTGTAGTTCAACATTTGGGTCGTATACACTCATACACTCCTTTAAGCATTGCATCACTATTGAGCTAACGTACTTTGGTATTGAAAAGCACAACGCCATATTCACACACCAAATTGTCAGGAAGTCTTTAAAACGATTATTTAACCATCGCGACTTTATAAGATTCACTTGTTTAATTGTTTTAAATTTAGAAATGCTTTGTTGCTATGTTCTCGGGCAAGTTCTCAATTTTTCTTGCAATATTGAAGTTTGTTGACCTAAATAGGGCAATAAGGTAAATGTACCGGCGTAGAATTTTATTTGTGGAAAATTTGGTGGTTGTTGTATGATATTTAATATTTAATATTTAATATTTTGATCAAAAAGCGTTTAAATTATATTCATATATCGCAAGATCTATCGGTTTTCTTTCCACAAATTGGTACTTTTCCTACGCAACGATATCTATCGAATACCGCATAACTACCAAATAATATTCTTTATTTACTGTAGTCCAGTTTGATGAAGCAAACTCGCCGTAGACTTTTTGAAAACAATTGTAATCAATCAAGAATTAATTTGATGAGTTATTTTTTATTTTTTGGTATCATGCTGCCATTTATTTAGGTCATTAATAATTTAGGTAAATATTTAGGTTTAAATGCATCAGGCTACATCATATAGCGCTTGTGCTAATGGTAAGTCAGCATACAATTTATGAGGGGTTATATTTTATGAAAATTATAGTCATTCTTAATGTTCTTATTTGATAATTGTTGTTAGTATATTTTTTGTTTGGTCGAAACTTAAATCGTTGATTTGAGATTGTTGTGTTGTATTTGAAAATCTATTGTAAATAATTAAATAATATTTTCCATTTATAAATTTAATGCCATTTATAAATTTAATGCCATTTTTGCAGGATCTTGCTCCGAATGTCCATTGGAAACCTTAGTGCGTTGCCGGTGTGGCCATATGGATATCCAAGTTAAATGTACAAGCCTGTCTACAAGCACTGAAACAAGATGTCTCAAAAAATGTACAAAGGTAGTTTATTCTGAAGAAAAATTTCTGTTGTAATCTACAAATAAAACTTTAAGATCGTTTAAGTGAATAACACAATAGTCATTTATGGACAAAAGAGCAAGGAAACGACATAAATTATAAGATTTTAATTATCATGCAGAAGAATTACTAGATTGCAGATTTTGTCGTTTTTTATTTGTTTCCTATTTTTTGCAGATTTTCAACTTCTCGTAGGACAAGTTATAATAGTAATTGCAAAAAAATCGCAAATGAAAATTTTCATGTATCTTTACGTTTCAAAAGTTTCTGAATATTTTGGCATACATTAGAAAAAATGGAATTATGTGTGTGTGAGTGTTTTTTTATAGAGGTGCGAAAAAATCTTCATAAGACACCGCCATCGTTGATACGACGGACGGCAGTGTGGATATTTTTACCCACTAAAAAAACCCTCCTCTTCCTTCTCTAGTGCAATAAACGGAGAGGAAAAAAGGGTATAACATCTGAATTTTTTTACTGTCTTCCGAATTGCATGAAATTTTAGAATTAGGTTCTTCTTACCCTCAAGTTCAAAAGTGAAAACAATTCGGGTTGCGCCATCACCCCCCGGGGGGGTTGCGAACCGTTAATAAATAAGTGGACATTGAGCCGTTTTATCGCTAGAAAACGTTTTAATAATAAAAGATATAATTAAAAAATATTTTTTAATACATTTACCTTGCAGTAAAATCATTTTCAACCCCGTGAAAACACTAAAACCCTTCAAACAACCTCTTAATTGAAAAAAAAACGGTATGATGTAATAAGAATTACGTATAAAGTAAATAATATTTTATGTTTTCTATCTTGATTATCAAATTTTTAACCCTTTTTAGACCCTTAAAAACAACCCTTTAATGAAAAATTGTTTGAAAAAATTATTTTGAAATTGATAGAAAATTAATAAATTCAAAATGATATGGATATTATTTGAATTTATCGAAAATCATTACCATATGCATAATTTGTTCAACTCTTAAAACTACCCTTAAATAAAAACAGTTAATATAATCAATTACAAATTGAAAAATTATTCAATTAAATCATAGTATTATAATTTCAAACTAAAACAACATTTACTACTCAATGTCGGAGTTGCTGTTATCATCACTATCTTCTTCTGGCTGTATTGGAGGGCTATTTTGGCCGTTACCACCGCTACATGTTCCACAAGCTGTATTGCTGAACAGACCAACTTTTCGGCATCCGCATGAGGCTCCGCAACCTTTTCTGCAGTTACAAAAAAACATTTTTAGTAATTCTTGTGGTGCTGGTGCATCTAAAGTTTTGATTGGATTGAATAATCCTTCATTCATTACCCACTCCCAATCAGTTGGGTGAATGTTTTTGTTGCCAAGCCATATCTGTGTTTGAAGGTAAACTCTTCTACTATGCTCATTTATTTTACTGTTGAACCAAAGAAGCTAATTTAACGGCAGTGTTGTTTGTGGCAGCTTTCATAAAACTTTCATAGGGCATCTTTTTGAGATACTGCGATAAGTTGTCTAATCGACTTAACTTTTTTGGTTGTATGTTTTTAGTTAGTCCATACAAACAAACCATGCAATATTTACCAGCTTCTAATACATCTTGGACTTCAGATGTACAATTCATAAATATCTGCGCTTGCATTCTTAAATCTTGTCTTCGTTCTATGAATTTTTTTTGCCTTTATTAAATGCAGCCGAAGTAGTGATAGAATGTGCAAAAAACAATCAGTTTAGCACAATTTGGGTAGTTTATTCCTAGGCTTCTTGATGAGTATATGACTGTTTTCACATTTTGCTTCCCTAATTTTAAAAATAAAATTTCTTCATCATCATCAAAGCGGGCAGTTAAAATCACCGAAATATCGACATCTCTGAGATATACACTAAAGCAATTAATTCATATTATTTCAAAATTTTTATAAATACACTTAAGCATATATATTTATATATATATATATATATATATATATATATATTATAAAGTCAATAGTTTTGGGCACCATTGCTCGAAATATGGACACAATTCGACAAAAATGATATTAGTTTTCGGGTCATAACTCCTTCAATTTCAACCCCATTACAATTTGTAATAAACCATTTGAAAGGTTAATAAAAGGGGTACAACTTTTTTCATCATAATTTTTTTTGTAACTTCTCTCATTTTGAAACGGCGAACGGTTAAAGGGCTCGAGATAGACTCTGATTGCGCGGCCGCGCACCCTTTAAACAATCATTTCTCTGTCAATTTTTGTGTGAACAAAAAACAATAATAAGCCAGAAAGATCCCTTTGATTTTCATCTATATGCTTCTATACGTATCTTCTATTCTTTTTGAGGTATAATGAAAATAAGTTCTATTAAAAAAAACGGAAAAAAAAGTTTTTATAAAATCGTGAGTTTTCTGAAAATAGTTACTATTAAAATAGTGAATCTTCTAGAATTCGTCAAGAGGTCTATAATGAAGTGAATTCTAGGTGGAATGTGAATTACTTTAATTCTGGTGGAAACGGCGCTCATTAAACCACATGATTTAGAAGAAAAAACCATCGTATATGCTTCTTATTTGCATGATAGCTCACTCATTTTATATGCAAAAAACTTGTAGCAGCACTCATTTTAAAGCTTATGTTGAGCACTGTAAAACCCAGTTTCACCGAAATGCATAAAATGTAAAACTTCGCCACTAGATGGCTTTAAATACAACAATTAAATCTTGAACGAACTAAAAAACGACTTTGCTCTTTCAAATCTTGCTTAATATTTTTCCTAGAACACTTTATGTAATACCGATTTATTAAAAATTTTATTGACATTATTTTGTTCATTGACATGATTTTCTCTTTATAATAATCTGTTCGAAAACATTTAATATTTCTCGAACATTTCGTTACGGTAGGAAAAGTTTCAGCAATTTGCCTTGAAGCACGATGCCGTACGCCCCACTAGTTTTTTATGCTTCTTATTTGCATGATAGCTCACTCATTTTACATGCAAAAAACTTGTAGCAGCACTCATTTTAAAGCTTATGTTGAGCACTATAAAACCCAGTTTCACCGAAATGCGTAAAATGTAAAACTTTGCCACTAGATGGCTTTAAATACAACAATTAAATCTTGAACAAAATAAAAAACGACTTTGCTCTTTCAAATCTTGCTTAATATTTTTCCTAGAACACTTTATGTAATACCGATTTATTAAAAATTTTATTGACATTATTTTGTTCATTGACATGATTTTCGTTAGAATATATATTTTAGGAGATATTTGCAAAAAAAACGAAGAAAAACGCCAAAAATATATGCATTTTTAGTGGCCAGTAACTTAAAAAGTATTAGTTTTTTTGAAAAACTATAAAAGACATTTTTTTCTTATAATTAGTTCTTCTATCGATTTCCGACGTTATTTTGAAAAATGTAATTACACAATTGAGAAGGGGTGTCATACCCCCGGGGGTGATGGCGCAACCCGAATTGTTTTCACTTTTGAACTTGAGGGTAAGATGAAACTAATTCTAAAGTTTCATTCAATTCGGAGCACAGTAAAAAAATTCAGACCCTAAACGCTCCGTTTACTGCACTACTCCCCTGCGGATGGTACGGGAGGACTGGATTAGAACCGCGTTAGCATTACATCAATCCAGTCCGTGCTGCGCCTTGCGTCGCCTGCTTTCGACTACTGGTCCCTTTCTCCGGTTTTATCCTTCAAAAGATGCTGTGCGTAAGCTGCTACAGCTGACCAGTTTTCTTCTTGTTTCATCATGTAGGTCACAAGACTTGAGGGGGTGAGCCTGGTGCCTATAATGTGTTCGGCATTGTTACGATAGTCCTTTCACCGAGCACATTCAAAGAACGTGTGCTCAGCGTCGTCGATTTTATCTGCACAGTATTTGTGTGTGTGTGTGCGTTTATGTATGTGTGTGCGTGCGTGTGCGTGCGTGTGTGTGCGTGTGTGTGCGGATACCAATTTTTGTCGACGATTTCGGGAACACCGATCGACCGATTTAGATAATTCAAAAAACATTCGGTTCGTACTGATAAGGAGACGTGCTGATTGGTTTTTGGCGAAGGCAGGTCTAGCCGTTCCGAAGATATGGGGCAAAAAGAGCCAAAAACGGTAACTCAGTTTTTAGGAGAACGGAGCGTCCGATTTTAAAAATTAAAAAAAAAAGATGAATAACTGATTAAATTTTTGGGAAGGCCGGTCTAGCGGTTATGGACTCTCAATAAAAATTAGTTAAAAAAATGCCATTCGGCGGCCAAAAATATTCATTGGACATATGTACATCAAATTATCAGATATTTCATAGAGATTTTAATAATATGCATACATTTTGTGTAATTTTTTTGGGTTCCGTGCCAAGATTTTTAATTTTAAATTTCACGTATATGGTTCAAATAAATGTCCTTGACATTTCCGAGAGCGTGGAATAACTGATTTGAATAATTTAAAAAAAAAAATTTGATTTGTATTGATAAGGAAACATGCTGATTAGTTTTTGGCATATGCAGGTCAAGCCCTTTCGAAGATACGGGGCAAAAAGAACCAAAAATTGTAATTCAGTTTTTGAGAGAACGGAGCGTCCAATTTGAATAATTCATAAAACATTTTATTTGTATTGATTAAACGAAAAACTGTTAAAATTTTTGGAAAGGCAGGTCTAACGGTTATGGACTCGTAAGTTATTGTAATCGTCCAAAAATCGAAATTTGAAAATTTTTGCATTTCTCGACGTTTTGAAGGTTTCTGAACATTTTAGCATACTTCAGAAAAACTGGACGTGTGTGTGTGTGTGTTTTGTGTGTCCACATTTTTTCGTTCACGTTTTCGGGCGCACGGATTTGAATTGTTGATTTGAATTGCGCACCGATTTGAATTGTTAAAAAAACATTCGATTCCTATTGATAAGGAGATGTGCTGATTAGTTTTTGGCAAATGCAGGCCAAGCCGTTTCGAAGATATAGAGCTAAATGCGCAAAAAATGGCAGTTTTTGAGAGAACTAAGCGTCCGATTTGAATGATTCAAAGAACTTTCTGCTTGTTTTAACAAAATAATTGATTTCGAGAAAAAAAATTTTGAAAAAAATTTCAAATTTTTTTTTTCAATTTTCTTTTTTCAAAAAAAAATGTTTTGTGTATCTAACATAATTTAGATTTCATTCTTAATTCTGACTAAAGTTCTAAAATACTTTAAACAAATAATTTCATCTTTGCAATTCAGTTTGTATAATTTTTATTAATATTTAACGATATTACAGAATTTATAATAATCTGTTCGAAAACATTTAATATTCCTCTAACATTTCGTTACGGTAGGGAAAGTTTCAGCAATTTGCCTTGAAGCACGATACCGTATGCCCCACTAGTTTTTTTTTAATGTAATTTGACGGTAAAAATGTTCACTAGACATATGCACATCAAATTATCAGAGATTTTAATAATGTGTACACATTTTGTGTCATTTTTTTTGGGCTCCGCACCAAGATTTTTAATTTTGAAGTTTATGTATATGGTTCAAACAAATGTACTCGACATTTTCGACAGTATGGAAAAATCGATTTGTATTATTGAACAAACATTCGGTACTCGATCGCGAGGTATTTTTGCACAAAGCACATTCTGCCGTTTCGCAGGTATGGAGCGCAAAGGGTGTAAAAATGGTCATGTAGTTTTCGAGAGAACGGATCATCCGATTAGATTAATTTAAAAAACCTTTTGCTTGTGTAGACGGTGTGCAAAAAATGGTTACACAAAAAATTTCGTTGTTTTGAAATTAAAAAAAAAAAAAATCAAAATTTTCTAAACAAATATAAATTTTCAGAAAACTCAATTCGTTGAAATTTTTCATTTTGAAAAAAATATCTAAATTTCGAAAAACTTGAAAAACATCAAAATTAAAAAAAAAACGATTTCTTACAAAAATTTGAGAATGTTTCGAAATTTTCAAAAAAAAACGGACATTTTCAAAAATTTCCAAATTCTCAAAAAATTTAAAAAAATCGATTTTTTTTTAAATTTTAAAATTATCAAAAAATCAAATTTAAAAAAAAATTAAAGAAATTTCTTGTAAGCATACACATAAGTTGTTTGTAGAATATGCTCGTCGCCCAATAAGCACATATAAATTTACAGTATGTATTTATAATAAATAATCTATTTGAAATTATTTAAAACGATTATTGATTATTTTCATTCCTCTAATTTTTAATTACGATACGGGAAGTTCCAGCAATTTGCCTTAATTGATCTTAAATGATCATGCAGTTTATGAGAGAATGGCTTATTCAATTATTATTAGACAAGCATATCAAATTATCAGATATTTTATAGAGAATATGATAATAAATACAAATTTAATTTTCATTGCATTGGGGTTGTGACCAATAATTATAGTGTTTGAAGTTTACTAAATGAAATTCGTTGAATAATTAAAATTAAAAAAAACATTTGGTTTGTACTGACGATGAGATATAAAAAGTGATCGTGCAGTTTATGGGAGGACGGCTTATCCAATCAAAATGATTCAAAAAACAGCTTACTTGTATTGATCGTGTAATGAAACGATTAGTTTTTGGGGAAGGTTTCAGAGATACTGAAGAAACAAATCCAAAAACTGGCATTTAAAATTATGTGAAGCTTTCTTATAAACATTAAACAAGCGATATAATATTTGTATTTTGTTCAAGAATATGATGGTAAAAGTCTCTTTTGAAGCCAACATTTGAAGTTGGTTTTAAAGAGAATGCTGACAAGTACATGGTAAAATAAAGTTGATTACAAATTAGTAGATACCCCCAGTGGCGTATCTAGCTTTGACTACTAGAGCTGATTAGTATGTATGTATGTGTGCTTTTGTATACCAAAGGAAATACGGACTCAACAATGTTAATACCGACTAAAACCTCCCATTTTCTTAAGCCTTGTAACCCCCAAAAGCTTGTTTTCTCGTATATAAGATCTCATACATTTTTCATTCATACTTTTCATCTCAATTCTAACGTAGCGTTATGAGAACTTTTGTAACACACGTACCACTGGCGTTCTAGGCTTTTTCTGATGATAGAATTGATTCTATTAGTATCCATACTGGTTGTCTGCCAGAAGTGGATCAACAATTGCTTCAATTCTTTAATGAATTTTTTGTTTGAATATCTTACCAGCCGTATCGAGCACGCAGTGTGGACCGTAAGACGACGGTTCTTTTGGTGGCTTTCTTTAGGATAGGTTCAAGCCGTTGTTGTTTTTACTTTCTAGGAAATATGCTTTCGTCCAGGCATATGTTGTAGGCGTCTAGGAATAGTGATGACGCTGCCTCAATAATGGTTTTCTATCCTATGTTAGAGATTCGATTCAATTCCGGCGCGTTATAATTTTTTGCACGGTTACAGGATTCCAATAACTCCTCTTCAGTGGCTAGTGGAATGTTATCCAGTTCGATTGATGCAAACTGATAACTGAAACTGCGTTGATGTGGAAACAACGCAGTTACGACTTTTTGAAGTAATTGAGATACATTTATGTCTGCGCTTTTTGCTTTTTCAGCAGAGTCATAACCACCTCATAAAGCCTAATCGAAACGTCTTTTTCCACCTCACATATGATATCCTTCGAGCTTCTTTGTTTGCACTCTTTGATGGCCTAGTTCAAGACGAAATTTTTTGTACTGTGCTGTCAGTTCGACAGAGTTAGATCGCTGACAGCTACGCTGAGATATTCATCTTTTATTGACCTATCAAGCAAGTTAATTGCTCTTGCTGGAAGGCGATCAATGACCTGACGCGACCTGATGAAAAGAATGACACAAGATTGTGACGCCAGTATGCTTCATAAATTTAAGACCCTCGGTGTACTGATGGAACGATCACATCAGACATCAGTCCTAGAGGTATGCTTTACGAAAGACACTGACGTGATCGTTCCGCCAGTACACCGAGGGTCTTAAATTTATGAGGCGTAGTGGCGTCACAATCTTGGGTCACTCTTTTTATCAGGTCCTTCGTCGAGTAAAGTCGTTGATCGCCTTCCAGCAAGCGCAGTTAACTTGCTGGTAAGTCTTTCAAGATCTGTTTTATCGATATTGCCGCTGGTAGTGTAGATAGCTCCAGTTACATTTTACCTCGGACGAGACTACTGCTGACAAAAGTGTGGTCTAAATCGAGCTTGCGTTGCCTTTGGTGTAAGTCGGCGTATCACCAAAGTCGAGCAGGACATCATCTAGCGTACTAAAAGCTTCTTGTAATGTATTTCTCGTGCGTTTGTGTGCTTGCTGCCCCAGTCTACCAGGAGTTAAAGTTTTCGGCTATCGCTAATCGGTGATGTTGCTTAGCGTTTTTGGTCAGTCAATCTAGATGGTCAGTTAATTTCACAACGCAGAGAAGCGGATGCCAACTATTGTTGCTGATACAATGCAACGCTGCGTTTGGTAAGTGCATTTTGGAAGGTGAGCTTGCCACATAGTCTAAGAGCCAGAAGCAATGCGCGATGCACGGTGCTATTAGCGTTTGGAATTCTTTGGTTGCGTCATCATCCCTATTGAAGGGATGACGACGCAACCGCGGAATGACTGCCAGAATGGCACTTTCTGAATGATTAGGACCCAGACAACCTGAGTGCTTCTGTAGGCTTTACGGATCTTGATTGCTTTCGCTGGTCAGGCTTCTCCAGCTGCTTTGTTCAGGGCAGACTGAATGTCGGCCTTAGTTCTATCATAATCAATATCTCCGATTTCGATTATTTCCTGTGGCCCTTTGCAAATCACTTTGGGAAGGATGCTTGCGATTGTCTGTTGCAGTCATTGGCCTTTGCCTGCGCACTTCCTCGAGATTGTAATCAATATGCCTACGGTCCTGGTTTTGGTAATTTTGTCTACCGTCATTCGGACCTGCTCTTCAGGGATGTCCTGCTTTCGACGACGATTTCGAGATCACAGATCAAAAATGGTAATTCAGTTTTTGAGAGAACGGAGCTTTCGATTTCAATCATTCAAAAAACATTTTACTCGTATTTTGAAAATGAAGAACTGATCGAAAGGCAGGTTCAGCGGTTTCTGAAATCTAACGAAAAAGTTACAAAATGTCATTTGGCGGTAAAAAATGATCATTGAGTAAATGCACATCAAATTATCAGATATTTTATAGATCTCATAATAATAAGTATACATTTTTTACACTTTTTTAGGTTCCATACCAAGATTTATAATTTTGGTTTCAATATTTGATCTACTAAAACAGCTACGCAGTGTGATTGCTTTGAAAAAAATCTAAAACAAAAAAAAACATTTTTTTCAAGAATCGTCCTATTGTCTAAAAAATTTATAAAAATCTAATTATTTAAATTTTCAAAAAAAAATTAAGCTTTTAAAAATTTTAAATCACGGTACGGGAAGTCTTAAGGCAAGCTTCCATGCTCCACTAGTCATTTTTTTATTGCTTTACTTAAAAAGATGCTTATATTACTCATTCTACATACTCTTTTTCCATTTACAATGCAAAACAAAAAGTGAATGACGCAAAAAGGATGATTATAAAATATAATACTGGATCACCGATTTTTTTACAATTTATAATTATTTTATATTTATATTAAAATATAAACTTATTGATTTTCAGAAACGGGATTGCGGTAAACACAAATGTAATGAACCTTGCTGTATTATACAAGAGCATATTTGTCCACTACCATGCAGACGTATGCTATCTTGCGGACAACACCGTTGCGAGAGCAACTGTCACAAGGGACGTTGTGACCCATGCTGGCGTTCAAGTAAATATAATCACATTCATTTAATAGAATACTAATTTATTTTCATAAAAAAACTCAAATTTAAAATTTCCGCTAGGTTAGGTGATATAACATTTTTATAGTCATTCTAATATCTTACCGTAAAAAAATTCTTGACGTCCCAGTATAAAAATATGTTTTAGGCTCACGCTATGTACATTTAAACCAAATTTATTTATTAACTTTCCGTAGGGTAGTTATAGTACTGGGCCGAAAATCGAAAATGAAATTTTTTGCATTTCTCAACGTTTTGAAGGTTTCTGAACATTTTGGCATACCCCAGAAAAAATGGATATGTGTGTGTGTTTTGTGTGTCCGCATTTTTTCGTTCACGTTTTCGGCCGCACGGATCAACCCATTTGAATGGTTAACTAGTTTAAAATTAGAACAGAATTAAAATAAAAATCTGAATTATTTTCGATATACAAAAAAAATTTTTTTTGAAAAAAAAATAAAAAAAATAAAAAAAAATATTTTGAAGCAAATTTTTTCTTCCAAAATAATTATTTTGTTAAAACAAGCAGAAAGTTTTTGGAATCATTCAAATCGGACGCTTAGTTCTCTCAAAAACTGCCATTTTTAGCACATTTAGCTCTGTATCTCCGAAACCGCTGGATCTGCCTTTGCCAAAAACTAATCACCCCTTCGGATGTTTTTCGGATCATTCAAATCGGATGCTCCGATCTCTCAAAAACTCGATTTCTATTTTCTGCACTCTTTGCTTCGTATCTCCTAATCGGCTGGACCTGCCTTGTCAAAAACTAATCAGCACATCTCCCTGTCAATGGGAATGGAATGTTTTTTGAACCATTCAAATCGGTTGATCCGTGCGTCCGAAAACGTGGACGAAAAATTGTATCCATACATACATACACTCACACACACACACACACACACACACACACATCCTTTTTTTTCTGAGGTATGCCAAAATGTTCGGAAACCTTCAAAACGTCGAGAAATGTAAAAATTTTCAATTTTGATTTTCGGCCCATTAAAATAACTTATCCTACGGGAAGTTAAAAAAACATTTGATTCCTATTGATAGGGGGATGTGCTGATTAATTTTTGGCAAAGGCAGGTCTAACCGTTACGGAGATACGGAGCAAAGAGTGCAGAAAATACAAATCGAGTTTTTGAGAGAACGGAGTATCCGATTTCAATGATCTAAAGAACATGCAATTTGTAATGATTGGGAGAAGAGGTGATTAGTTTTTGGCAAAGGCAGGTCCAGACATTTCAAAGATACAGAGCTAAATGTGCAAAAATGGCAGTTTTTAAGAGAACTAAGCGTCCGATTTGAATTATTCAAAGAACTTTCTGTTTGTTTCAACAAAATAATTGCTTTTGAAAAAAAAAATGTTTCAAATTTTTTTTTCAAAAAAAAATTTTTTTCAAGAAATTTTTTTTTTCAAGAATTTTTTTTTATATCGAAGATAATTCAGATTTAAATTTTAATTCAGTTCTAATATACTTTAAACAAAATAATTTCAACTTTGCAATTCAGTTTATATAATTCTTATAAATATTAGACAATGTTACAATATTTACAACTAGTTGGTATTGGTATTTTGCCTTGAGGCAAGTTACATGAATTAATTTATGAGTGATTAAAAGTATTCCGACTGTATTTATTGCACATAATTAAAAACGAACGAAGACGTTAACTCGCAGTATTTTCTAAAAGCAAATTTTTAACCATTATTATAATTGAATCAGTTTCCGCAGGACTTTAATGGTTTAGTATGTTCCAAGACCAAGTACTCTAACGTTATACCGAGTAAATCGTCTAATTTTAAGAGACGTCAAATAAATTACTCGTTTTCTCAAACTTTGATGAATTAAATTAAACTACTTGTCGTAAGGCCGTAATATTTCAGTAAGTTTTATAAGACCATGATATATATCGTCAAAAAAAGTTCCATAAAAATCGGCTTAAATTTTTTTTTCAACAGTTAAAGATTTCCACTTAAAACTTATCCGTATCATTCCCAACTAACATCTTTCAAAAAGTTTTTGATTTTTTAAAATCGATTCGGAAGTATGAGCTTAAGTGCGGACGAAAAGTTTAACACTTTTTTCCAAATTTTAAAGGAACGGCTGGCCGATTGTTGCACAAAACTGAGAAACGATAATCCTTATCGAGATACATCAAATAGCTTTTAAATTTATGAAATCGGTTCAGGCGTTTTAGAGCAAACGTCAGAAAGGTCTAATTTTGACAAATGCCACAAAAACGATACTAATTTTTGCAAATTTTGACGAATTTTTGAAGCTAAACAAGTAGTCGTAGGGCTGTAATATTTTAGTATGATCTAGAAGACTATGGTATCTACCGTCAAAAAAATAATAATAAAAATCGTCGATTTTTAACTTCCCGTAGGGCAAGTTATAGTAATCGCAAAAAAATCGAAAATGAAAATTTTTATATATCTTTACGTTTCAAAGATTTCTGAATATTATGGCATACCTTAGAAAAAATGGATATATGTGTGTGTGTGCGTGTATGTGTGTGTGCTGGATACAAATTTTCGTCGACGATTTCGGGAACACCGATCAACCGATTTGAATAATTTAAAAAACATTCGATTCGTATTGATAAGGAGACGTGCTGATTAGTTTTTGGCGGAGGCAGGTCTAGTCGTGCCAAAAATGGTAACTAAGTTTTTAAGAGAACGGAGCGTCCAATTTTAATAATTCAAAAAACATTTTACTTGTATTGACAAGATAAAGAATTGATCAAATTTTCATGAAGGCAGGTCTATCGGTTTCCGAGATCTAGTAAAAAAAGTAAAAAAAAATGCCATTTGGCGGTCAAAAATGATCATTAGACATATGTACATCAAATTATCAAATATTTTATAGAGATTTTAACAATAAGTATAAATTTTATTTACATTCCTATGGGTTCCGTTAGACGGCGACGCGGCGCTTGCGCGCTTTGATATTTCGTCTCTATGCATTTAAAGCAGTACGATTGCTTTGAAAAAAAGTTCAGAATTTCTAAAATATGTTAAAATAAAGAAAACATTTTTTTTTCCAAAAAAAAAATTTTTTTCAAAAGAAGTAATTTTTTGTTTCTCAAAAATTTAATTTTTTTGAAGTAAAATTTTTGCAAAAATGTTAATCGTTTTTAAAAAAATAAAAACTCTTGGTACGGGAAGTTCCAGCAATTTGCCTTATGGCACGATGCCATGCGCCCCACTAGTTTTTTTTTTTAGCTTTATCACAAGAAAACGGCATGGCCGATCTTTACCAAAAACTAATCAGCACGATTCCCAGCCAATATCTTTTGAACGGTTTTTGAATTTTCAAAATCGATTAAGAATTGCGGGTTAAAACGTGGACGAAAATTTTTCACATTTCTGCGATTTACAAAGAAACGGCTCGGCCGATCGTCACACGAAACTCAGAAACACTAGTCATCGAAATACATCGAATGGCTTTTAAATTTTTGAAATCGGTCCGACCGCTTTTGAGAAAACGTCGATTTACGGCAAAAAATCTGTTCACGCACACGCACACAGACACACATACTTTACCAAATTTGATCTCATTCGATTCAGAATGGTTTGAAACGCTGAGAAAATATAAAATTAGCGAATCGAAGTTTTTGATGAAAACAAACTTCTCCGGGAAGTTAAAAAAAATGTTTTAAGCCCGGTGCACACGTCGCCAGATTTCATGCCGGACAGTTTGTTACCTTAGCTACGACATGATAAATCATACGATCTTGCCCGACATATTTTGCGATCTTGCCAGCCAGATTTCACGTTTAAGATCTCTATTCACAACGGCGGTATACTCATCATAATTTCTATGTAAAACCGTTGTCTAGCAACGTCGGAATTTGATTTCATAACAACTTCTGTCCTCGCAAATCCTGCCGTATTTTACTAATAGAGCATGTCCTATTCGGCGATATATGAACTATCTTGTGGCCGATACCTTCAGTGTCCAATAGGAAAGCTGTATTTTGTCACGTAAATATAAATGCGTACTTGATTCAGGTACTTCGATTTTGGAAGCGTTTAGTTTTTATTTTGTAAATAGCTATTGTGTATATATAGCGTCGTGAATAAATGATTAGTTTTGGAAACGCAATTCAGTAATTTTAAAATATTCAAATTTCCGAAAAAATTCAAATATGCATTTTTTTCAAATTTTCGTAATTTTATCTGAAATATCAAAAAATTTCAAAATTTCCAAAAAATTAAAAAAACTAGTGGGGTGTATGGCATCGTGCCTTAAGGCAAATTGCTGGAACTTCCCGTACCGTAACGAAATGTTTGAGAAATATTGAATGTTTTCAAATAGATTATTATAAATATTGTAAAATATTTATAAGAATTATCTTAACTGAATTGCAAAGTTGAAATTATTTGTTCAAAGTATATTAGAACTTAAGGCAGAATTAAAAATAAAATCAGAAATATTTTCGATATACAAAAAATTTTTTTTTGAAAAAAAAAATTTTGAAACAATTTTTTTTATTCCAAAATCAATTATTTTGTTAAAGCAAGCAGAAAGTTCTTTGAATCATTAAAATCGGACGCTTAGTTCTGGTGCCATTTTTTGAACATTTAGCTCTGCATCTTTGAAATGGCTGGGCCTGCCTTTGCCAAAAACTAATAACCACTTCTCCCAATCATTACAAATTGAATGTTTTTAGATCATTCAAATCGGATGCTCCGTTCTCTCAAAAACTCGATTTCTATTTTCTGCACTCTTTGCTCTTTATCTTCGTAACTGCTGGACCTGCCTTCGTCAAAAACTAATCAGCACATCTCCCTATCAATAGGAATCGAATGTTTTTTTAACCATTCAAATCGGTTGATCCGTGCGCCCGAAAGCGTAAACGAAAAAATGCGGACACACAAAACACACACACACAAACACACAAACATCCATTTTTTCTGAGGTATGCCAAAATGTTCAGCAACCTTCAAAACGTCGAGAAATGCAAAAGTTTTCAATTTCGATTTTTAGACGATTACAATAACTTACCCTACGGGAAGTTAAAAATCAAATTGTTTCATTTCAGAAATTTCGAAATTTGCAAAAATACTCGAAATTTAAAAAAAAAAATTGCGAACCTTTTTAATATTTTTATATCAGTATTAATTATCCGATAAAAATACTGATTTTCAAAATCAATATTTGTTATATTAAACTGAAGCATTTTATTATTTTTTAATTATTATTATTTTATTTAATCCTAATCAAATCGATACATATATGTTTCTGTTTACAATTCTTACAATTCTCTGTTTGTACACTTATAAACATTAGTGCATATTAGACCTATAAAATATAAATTGTGAAATTCGCAGTATATATTTATAATAATCTATTTGAAAATGTACGAAATTACTATTAATCATAAAATAAGTGAAAATCTGGCGCAAAATTCTTGCTCGCCAGAAATCCTGTTACGACAGAAATCCTGTTACAAGAAATACTGGCGTCGTGTGCACCGGGCTTTAGTATAAAAAATTGAGTCTTCTTATAATTAGGCTTGCATCGAATATTCGGTTATTATTCCGTATTCGGCATATTCGGCACCTTTTTTAATATTTGGCCGAAAACCGAATAGTAACTTACTATTCTAACAAATACCGAATAGGTAAAATCAAAGGCGCCGCAGCCGTCGCTCATCGACAGCATTGTTGGCGTTTCATCTTTTCTGCGATAAACAGCTCGCGATTGATCTGTCTTTGTAAGTGTTTAGTTTATGTAATATGATATGAAAAAATGATTTCGTTATTGTATATATATATATATATATATAATTAAAACTTTATCGACTTTTAACATTATTGACGGACACGTGAAAGCTTTTTCTGAATATTCACAAGATACTTTATTGTTACAATTTTATATTATTTAATTATGAATCATTATTAATATTATATTATTTAATATGAATTAATATTATATTATTTAACATGAATCATTCAATGGTTACACGCATATATTGTATCAATACAGTATGGCCATTCATTAAATTCAATCTAATAGTGCAGTAAACGGAAAGGAAAAAAAGGGTTTAACCTCTGAATTTTTTTACTGTGTTCCGAATTGTATATGCTTCTTATTTGCATTTTTTTATGTTTCATTTTACACGCAAAAAACTTGTAACAGCACTCATTTTAAAGCTTATTTTGAACACTATAAAACCCAATTTCACCGAAATGCATAAAATGTAGAACCTCGCCACTAGATGGCTTTAAATACAACAATTAAATCTTGATCGGAATAAAAAACGACTTTGCTCTTTCAAATATCGCTTAATATTATTCCTAGAACACTTTATGAAATACCGATTTATTAAGATTTTTTATTGACATTATTTTGTTCATTACATGATTTTCATTAAAATGTATATTTTAGGAGATATTTGCAAAAAAACGAAGAAAAACGCGAAAAATATATGAATTTTTAGTGGTCAGTAACTTGAAAAGTATTAGTTTTTTGAAAAACTATTTTTTTCTTCTATCGATTTCCGACGTTATTTTGGTAAATGTAATTACACAATTAAGAACAGGTGTCATTCCCCTAAGGGGGTGGTGGTGGAACCTGAACTGTTTTCACTTTTGAACTTGAGGTTAAGATGAACTTAAGTCTAAAATTTCATGCAATTCGGAGCAAAGTAAAAAAAAATCAGACCCAAAACGCTCCGTTTGCTGTACTATAAGTATTTCCAACGGTTTGTCGTGACGAAGGTCGTTAACGCGTTCACTTTGTATGGACAGGGTTGCGCGTTCGAATCCCCGCTCTTGCAATCTGACAACGGGTCGCGCTATGTCCATTTTCAATTAAAAATAAAGATCAAAATATGTTTCCAATTGAAAATAAGCCTATAAAGAATCGCTTTTTTCTTGATTTTGCCATTTATTTCCCTATCACATGAGGTATTCAAGTATTCGGTATTTGTCCGAATAGTATAAATGGTGCCAAATATTACAAATAACGAAGAGTAGTAGCCGAATAATGGTTGCAAGACTAGACATAAAACTTGATTAAAGATGTAGCACGTTAGTAATAAAACAATTACTGATAGTAATTACATTAATACAAACGAGCTTAGGCGCCAAAAACCTGCCTATTAGTTGCCGAAGATTCGGTATTCGGTCTCTGGAGCATGCCGAATATTCGGAACTTTGATGTGTATATAAATTTCCATTAATTATGTTTTATATAATATAGCAAATATTTAAGCATAACTTTAAATTGTATCAAACGGATGGCGAAACGAAAAAGCATTAAGTTAGCAAATTGGATGTTCAGGTGTCAACATAAACCATTCCTTCGGGATTTTAGAAAGAATTTGGGTTTGCTTATATTCTTCAAGATTTTTGAAGCTGCATTTATATTTTGAATTATTTTGTGCAATTCTTTGCCCCCATAATATGATTTTCGATTTACTTACGGTCTAATAATTATTACTACACTAGGTTTTGATGAGCTGACATGTGAATGTGGCTACAGCATAAGGTATCCACCCATTCCATGTGGCGCCCGCAAACCAACTTGTGATCAAGTTTGCTCAAGACAACACTCATGTAGTCATCCCGTTCTTCATACATGTCATAGTGAAGCCGAATGTCCACCATGTACCGTTCTATGTTCCAAGTGGTGTTTTGGTAAACATGAGGTAAGGTTAAGTTTTAAGATAGTTAATAAAGATATTATTTTCGGTTTTAATCTATAATATTTTATTTTTTGAAAATGTTAAAAATTAAGGTAAAAGTACTAGTGCAGTAAACGGAGAGGAAAAAATCAGGATTTTTTTATTGTGCTCCGATTTGCAGGTAATTTTGGAAATACGCTAATATTACCTTTAAGTTCAAAAGTGAAAACAATTTGCACTCCGCCACCACTCCCCCGGGGGGGGGGGGGTGGTGGTAATGTCACCGCTACCCGCCAAGGTTCCTTTATGAATAAACTGACATTGAGCCATTTTATCGCTAGAAAACGTGTTTAATATTAGAAGGTGAAATTGTAAAGTATGTTCTAATACATTTACCTTACAATAAAATCATTTTTAATCCCTTGAAAACTTTACAACCCTTGCGAACTATCTTTGAGTTGAAAAAATACTTAAAAATATATTTTGGTATGACACATAAAGATTTAAGTATATGGTAATTTATATTTTATCCTCTTTATCTTAATTTTCAAATTTTCAACCCTTTTTTGACTCTTAAAAACACAACTCCTTCATGAAAAATTGTTTAAAAATTTATTTGAAATTCTGTTATTACAAATTCTCAAAAATAATTACCACATCTATAATTTTTTCATCCCTTAAAACTACTCCTAAATAAAAATAGTTAATTATTACATATTTAAAAATTATTCAATTATAGAATGAGAAATCAGAATTTATCATAGACAGTTTTGGTCAACAATACTGCGTACTTACACTTTGCTCTAAATATAGGCAAAATTAGACAAAAATATTATGAGTTTTTGGGTCATAACTCCTTTAATTTTGACTCGATCACAATTCGTAATGCATCATTTGGAACGTAATTGAAAGGGCTACAACTTCTTTTTATCATGAATTTTTGCGTAGCTTTACTTATTTTGAAAGGGCGAATGGTTAAAGGGCTCGAGAGAGACTCTGATTGCGCAGCTAGCACTTTTAAAATAATAATGAGTCTGTCAATTTTTGCATGAAAAGAATAACAGAAAACAATAATAAGCCCGAAATAGCCTTTTAATTGAACATGAAACCGTATGATTTAAATGAAAAAAAAAATGTATATGCCTCTTATTTGCATGATAGCTCACTCATTTTGCACTCAAAGAACTTGTAACAGCACTCATTTCAAAGTTTATTTTGAACACTATGAAACACCATTTCACTGGAATGTATAAAATGTAACACCTTGCCGTTAGATGGCTTTGGATACAACGGTTAAATTTTGAATGAAAAAAAAAACGACTTTGATCTTTCATATCTAGCTCAATATTGTTCCTAGAACACTTTATAAAACACAAAATTATTAAGATTTTAATTGATATAATTTTCTTTATTAAATGACATTTTGTAGAAATGTATATTTTTGGAGATATTTGCGAAAAAACGAAGAAAAGCGTTAAAAATATATGAATTTTTGGTAGCCAGTAACTTGAAAAGTATTTGATTTTTCGAAAAACTTTATGAAACATTTTTTTATCATAATTATAAGATGAACCTAGTTCCTAAATTTTATGCAAATCAGAGCACAGTAAAAAAAATCAGATCCAAAACGCTCCATTAACTGGTCTCAAAATAAGAAAACTATTGTTAAAAAATAATTTCTAAATACGTTTCGAGCTATTGATATCATGAGTTATAACCCAATTGTAGTCGGCGTGGTCTTGTTTGATAAAACATATTTTTCGAGAAATTGACAATTATATAATAACGGCGTAATTGTGGTCACACTATTGAGGCAGTGAATGAAAATGCGTGAGTGACACCCAATAGCATACCTGACGTCTATAGATTTCAAACATTTAAAGTTATTGATGATTTGGACCAACTTTAAAAGTTTTTTTTGTATAGCGAAGGAAATGCCTTTATGCATCCCAGAGTGGTGTTCTGTCTGGGTATGTCGGACTCAATACCGCCTGGTATAATACCGACTAAAACCTCCGCTTTGCCCTTGCCTCTGGTCCCCACGGAAACCGCCGTTAGTCATTACTTTGTGGGCGGAGGATCTAGAATGTTATAATGCTTCACTTGATTTTATACTCATCTTTTAAATGGGCGAAGTCCCATTTGTCCTTTCTCTTTCCATAGAGCGCAGGTCAATTAGCACCTCTCTCGCAAATCATTACTTGGGGTGATGCTTTGTCTCAATGTTTCTTCCACATCGTCCCGTAGAGCACCAAATCGCGGGCACACGTAGAACACATGCTCAGCATCTTCGATTTCGCCCAAACAACATGGGCAATCCGGCGAGCTATCGTGCTTGAAGCGATGTAGGTAGGCTCGAAAACAGCCGTGCCCAGATAGCATTTGCGTAGTATAATAATTTACTTCTCCATGCTTGCGACTTATCCAGACTTTGATGTTAGGCATGAGACGAATCGTCCATCTGCCCTTCACTGCGACATCCCACAGTTGCTGCCATCAACTTTTCAGCACTCAGTTGTTGATGTCTTCTATAGTAAATTGTCCATCTTTCCTCTGCTAAGACTAAGAGAGGCAGAGTTCCTGAAATGACGCTCACTGCTTCCTCCGATATTGTGCGAAATGCGCAAGCAATTCTTGAAGCACTTAGACGATGTATAGGTCCTGCCATTCTCGATTTTTGAGATTTGAGAGCATCAGCCCATATGGAGATACCATATGACAGCACCGAAGTAACCACTGACGATAGTAATATTCTTCTGGTTTGTTTAGGGCCTCCAACATTAGGCATCAGTCGAGAAGGTCTCGTCCTAACTATTGACGCCTTAGGACTAACGTGTTCCACCTGTTGATTGAAATTCAATCGAGCATCAACCATTACGCCAATTGGAGGTTTATTGTTCCCATCCAGCGATTACTTTTTCTAAATGTTATATTAAATAGACTTACGATCTCATCAATTTGTTTGGAGATAACTACTATGGAAACATCGTCTGCATATGCTACTAGTTTCACACCTTCTGGAATCTCAAGTCTCAAAAGGCCATCATATATTCTTCTGTACCATCGCGTGAATCGTACATTAGAATTCTGTCTGTAAAGTAGCTTGCGACTATATTGCAGAGGTATGCTGACACGTTCTTGTCACGGAGTGCATTCATAATGCAATCCCAGTTTGCAGAATTGTAAGCATTTGTTATATCCAATGTAGCTACAAGACAGTACTTCTTCGTATCCCCCTTCCATCAGGTTCCAGCAATTGCTTTCTTGGCGGTATTAACTACCAAGTTTATCGTATCGATAGTTGATCGCCCTTTGCGAAAACCATACTGATTGTCTGCTAGGATTGGATCAACTACTGCTTCTATTCTTTGGTGAATTATTCTTTCAAAATATTTACCCGCTGTATCCAGTATGCATATCGAACGGTACGATGATGGTTCATCTGGTGTTTTTTTTTCCTTTGGGAAGAAGCACTAATCTTTGCTGTTTCCATTTTCGTCGAAAAACCCCTTTTTTCAGACATCTGTTATAGGCATTAAGAAACATTGTCGGTGATGTCATAATTGATGTTTTTAAGGCAATATTAGGAATTCCATCTAATCCCGGTGCCTTACTATTTCCAACCCGATGACAAGCTTCCATCAGTCCTTGCAGTGTTATAGGTGGAATATTATTCAGTTCTACGTGTATTACCTGGTAGTTTAAATAAGGTTGTCGTGGGAACAAAGTAGTTACTATTTTATTCAATAGTCGTGGGCAACTTGGTGAAGGTATTACAATCTTATAAGGCCTTACCCATTTTCCTCGACTCGACTTCATCCAAAAGTTTTTCCCAGCACCTAACATTACTTTCTTTGGTAGCTTTATTTAGTTGCCTACGTGCATGTCTGTATTCCACTACCAGTTGTGCAGAATTTGTGAGACTATATCATCGCTGAGAGATTCTTCTTTTCTTTTGACACACTTAACGAAGAGAGCTGATTTCTTCAGTCCACCAATGCACAGATTATCTTTGATTTATGCCATGCTTACGAGTCATACTGATATCACAGGCTTCGGTTATTCTCTCCATCAGCTCTCTAGTATGCTTATCTGCGTGTTCTGAAATTATAGGTTTGCAATTTAAGGCAACTCTCATGGCGCTTTCTTCAAAAGATTTTATTTTACACCCAATGGCTTTAGATATCTTCACGTGTCTTTTAATGTTTCTATTTGTTGATATTTCCCAGGTGATTGCATTGTGGTCACTAGCAGTGTAGATACCTAACCTCCCATTGCAATTTCCTCTGACTAGGCTATTGCTAACAAAAGTAAGGTCTATTATTGAGCTTGCACTGCCCTTGACAAAGATTGGCTTATTACCGCTATTTAGTAAAACATCAAGTGCATTAAAGGCCTCTAGAAGTGCTTTACCTCTTGCATTAGTCTTCCTACTTCCCCAGTCTACCGCCCATGCGTTGAAGTCACCGGCTATAGCTACAGGGTGGTGTCGTTTGGCATCCTCTACTAGACGATCTAAGAAATCAACAAAATCTGTCAAAGAAAGACTAGGTGGAGCGTAACAGCTGTATAAATGCATGCCATCTAATGGTGTTGCTACAAATCCAACGTTGCTATTGTTAACAGCATTCTGGAAACAAAATTTACCACAGGACCAAATAACAGCTTTCGTGGTACTGTCCGTTTCCCATGGCCAATCAGTTAGTTGTTTGTAAGGTTCTGACAAGAGGGCAATATCAATTTTTATATTTCTTACCGTCTGTATAAGCAAGTCGTGTGCAGCCTTACAATGATTCATGTTTAACTGCATTATTTTCATGGTTTTGCGTTCATTATTTTCTCCATGGCCTCTCTATATAGAAGACATCTGTGAGTGCCGGCATGATGTGCAACATTTTCTGAGTTTCCATTTTCAGCGCATAGTGCACATTTTGCTGCATTTATGCAGTTGGCTATTTTATGACCTTCTTGTCCACATCAAATGCATAGATTGGTCCGATTCACTTCGCTCTTGCACTGTGATCCATAATGTCCGAATAGCCAGCATTTAAAGCACCGGATTGGTTTTTTGATGGTTTTAATTCGACAGTTCACCCATCCAATGCGTATTTTGCTACTTGCTCTGAGCAGATCGTGTACAATTGCCGCTGGTAGAGCTATTGTAGCAATCTCGGTGCCTCTGTATGCCTTGCGAATCTTAATTGCTTAATTTTTGAGGTTTCATCATCAATATCCCTCATTTCTATAATTTCTTGGTGCCCTTTATATATAACTTCGGCCTCATCCTTTAACACGCCTGCTATAATCTTTTGTAGTCCTTGGCCTTTGTCCGCGCTTTCCTTGGATATGGTTATCAACAAGTATCCATTTCTGGTTTTATTTATTTTGTCTACTGTCGTATTTACCTGGTCATCAGGTACATCATGTTTGATACGACGTAAGATTTCGGAATAATTAACTTTTTTGGGAAGAATTCTATGATTTGAGTCCTGTTCTGACAGATGTACCCTTGCTTCCTTTTTTTTCTGTTTCTTCGGCTGAACTTTATGCCATTCATCTACCTTGATTCGTTACATATTTCTATGATTGACTGATGTCTTGGCAAACCATTTTTCTCATTAACGTGACTAATTCTTATATTTTGAGAGTTTCGGTTACTTAAGGCTTTGCTTGTGCTCTGCCGTACACTTTCTTCTATATGGGCTGTTACTAATATTACTTCCGTATCTTCCGTGGTTTGGCCTATTTCCTCTATCATTTGGTTGTCTAAATCAATAAATCTTTTAATTAAAGCCGCTAAGTTGCCTGTTTTTATCTTCACCTCTTTATGTATGTTTGACTTTGATTTGACAATCATGTGCAGGTCATTTATCAGAATTTCAAGGCTCTTCAATGACTCATTACGTTGTAAAATGACGTTTTCTGAAATTATTTTTGACAGTTCAGCCATTGGTTTTCTTTTATTATTTACGTCGTCGCATGAGCTTGCTAGCGGATTTTGGGCTACATCTGATAAACCTGGGCATGGCGCTGTGTTCAAAATATTTGATGCACTGATTGTATCAACAGAGCTTCATTATTTGACACTATGTCCCCTCTGATGGGGAACATTTTAACAAAAATTTTACCTGCAGCCAAAGGCGAGATTCACTCAGCTCACTGACTTATAAGTAACTTATTAAAACTGATAGAACTATTATAACTTTTTACGACATTCGGTTCGTACTGATAAGGAGACGTGCTGATTAGTTTTTAGCGGAGGCAAGTCTAGCCGTTCCGAAGATACGGGGCAAAAAGTGTCAAAAACGGTAACACAGTTTTTAAGAGAACGGAGCGTCCGAATTTAAAAATTCAAAAAACATTTTACTTGTATTGACAAGATGAATAACTGATTAAATTTTTGGAATTTGGATTAAAGAAACGTTCTGATTAGTTTTTGGCATATGCAGGTCAAGCTGTTTCGAAAATACGGGGCAAAAAGATCCAAAAATTGTAATTCAGTTTTTGAGAGAACGGAGCGTCCAATTTGTATAATACAAAAAACATTTCATTTGTATTTATTAAACGAAGAATTGTTGAAATTTTTGGAAAGGCAGGTCTAACGGTTATGGACTCGTAAGTTATTGTAATCGTCCAAAAATCGATTGAAATTTTTTGCATTTTTCGACGTTTTGAAGGTTTCTGAACATTTTAGCATACTTCAGAAAAAATGGATGTGTGTGTGTGTGTTTTGTGTGTCCGCATTTTTTCGTTCAATTGCTTGTGTTGACAAAACAATTGGTTTTGAAAAAAACAAAATTTGTAATTTTTTTAACTTTCCAAAAGTTTGTTTTCATAAAAAAACCCGAATTGCTAATTTTATGTTTTCTCGACGTTTCAAGCCATTCTGAATCGTATGAGACCAAACTTGGAAAAAGTGTGTGTGTGTGTGAACAGATTTTTTGCCGTAAATCGACGTTTTAAAAAATTTAAAAACCATTTGATGTATCTCGATGAGGACTAGCGTTTCTAAGTTTTATGCGACGATCGGCCGAGCCGTTTCTTTGTAAATAGCGGAAAAGTGAAAAATTTTTCGTCCACGTTTTAGCCCGCAATTCTGAATAGATTTTGAAAATTCAAAAACTGTTCGAAACATATTTGTTGGGAATCGACCTGATTAATTTTTGGTAAAGATCGGCCCGGCCGTTTTCTTGTAATGAGGTGATAAAAAATTTTTTTTCGACGATTTTCGTTAATTTTTTTTTGACGGTAGATACCATAGTCTTATAGATCATACTAGAATATTACGGTCCTACGACAAGTCGTTTAATTTTAAAAAATCGTCAAAGTTTGCAAAAATTAGTGTCGTTTTTTTGGCGTTTGTCAAAGTTGTAACTTTCATCGACGTTTGCTCAAAAACGCCTGAACCGATTTCAAAAATCTAAAAGCCAATCGATGTATTTTGATGTGGATTATTTTTTCTCAGTTTTGTGTAGCGATTGGCCGAGCCATTTGTTTGTAATTTAAAAAAAGTATTAAATTTTTCGTCCACATTTAAGCTCATACTACTGAATCGATTTTAAAAAATCAAAAACTGTTCGATAGATATTAGTTGGAAATGATACTGATTAGTTTTAGTTGAAAATCTATCGAGCCGTTTTCTTGTAATTAACTGTTTAAATTAAGTCGATTTTCATGGAACTGTTTTTGGCGATATATATCATGCTCTTATAGAACTTACTGAAATATTACGGCCTTACGACAAGTAGTTTAATTTTAAAAATTCATCAAAGTTTGAGAAAATGTGTAGTTTTTTTCGCGTTTGTTAAACGGTATAACGATAGAGTGTTCGTTCGTTTTCAATTATGTATAATGAAACCACTCGGAATACTTTTAATCACTCATAAATTAATTTATTTTAATTGATTAAATCGATTATTCGGGAATTTCATGTAACTTGCCTCAAGGCAAAATACCGCCCTTTTTTCCTAGCCTTCTAACTACTTGTAGATCGGCATCTGCTAATTTGATTGATAAGTGTAGATCTAACCAATTGAGCATATGTTTGTCTAAATTGTCGTATGGAGATTCCAGTTCTTCGATTCCGGACTATGTTTCTTTGCCTCGCCTGTTTTTCTAGGAAGTAGTTTCTCTTTTCTTGGTTGTCTACTATTTCCTTGAGTTTCCTCTAATATCCTGTTGATGTTATGTGTAACCTGCTCGACCAATAACAAGAATATGTCCATTAACCAAATGGAGATTTTAATTAATTATTGTTTACTTAATTATATTGTAATTAATTAGGTTAGGTAAATTCTTGTTACTTATATTAATTAAGAAATATAGGATTAAAATAGAATTTATTTTGCTTTGTTTCTAAAATTGCATCTGTAAGTCGTATCATGATACTACTATTACTATACATAAATACAATAACTAGAAAATAATATGAAAAATAAATTTAATATTTTTTGGGGCGCAATATGGTCAGAATATATTCTGACGGTTTAACAGTTTAAATGTACGATGCCTTTGCGCCGTGTATCGTTTGCATTTCTTAGAATATTGCAGCCTCTGGTCTATATCCTTCACACAAGGGCTCTTTTTTATACCTAAATATTTCCTGTACGCTGTCGACAGTTATAATTTTAAGTTAGTCTAGATAATGCAACGGGACAGTTAACATATATATTTAATCATCTCTATAATTCTAATAGTGTGAAGATAGATTATAGATTCTATACAAACCGCAGTGTTTTATTCAGTAATGATCAAATTTGGAACGGTTATCATCAGATTCCGATTATTTACTTACAGTCCACTTCAATATTTATTACTGATAGTAGCCAGCCCAACCACTATGTGATTAGTGTTTACGGTATAATTGACGGCATTTAGATTTTTTATTTTTTATTTTAACTCTGTTTTATTCAGCAATCAGAAATACATAAGAATTTTTATAAGCTAAATTGACAATATTTGAGAGCGATGTCTAAGAAGAACTCCAATGAGATCTTCTTAGTTTAACAATTAAAAAGATAATGATATATTGAATCTAATCTAAGACTGAATCTAAAGGCCATTGACGTTTTAATCTTCTTACGCCAGGTTGGATAATGTCGCCTATTGATGGGTTTGAATGTGATTCCAGTTCACGTTTGTATTTTTCCTTAAATTGGTTTCATTTGTAACGTACCACGGAGAATTAAATATTGTACGTAAAATTTTTAACTGAGTTCTCTGCATTATGGCTATATTTGATTTGTAAGCACATCCCCAGAGCTCAATTCCATAGGTCCAGATTGGTTTAATGATTGATTTATATAGCAGCAACTTATTTTCAACAGAGAGCTTAGACTTTTTACGCAGTCAATCAAATTCTTTCATTTTGATCATTATTTGCTGCTTTTTAGTTTTTATGTGGCTTTTCCAAGTAAGTCTGCAGTCTAAATGGAGACCAAGATATTTCACTATATTCTGTTTCGGAATCTGGACGTTATTTAAATAAATTGGAGGACGCGAACCCTTTCTCATGGTAATTGTGATATGATTTAGATTTAGTAATATTTTTAAAGCAACCCTGACTAGTGAATAGTTTTTTATTGATTTTAGTCATCTAATAATGGTTATAATTATACCGTGTTCTAAACTGACATTGGTTTGTTTTATTAAAATACATTATACTTTTTTTTAAATACCAGATACTTTTGTTGAAAACCACTATTTCACTAGATGCGCAAAACTATCCCCTGCCACCAAAAGGATTTTTCATGCGGCCGTCCATGCGGAAAAGAATTACCATGTGGTAAGCATTCATGTCTCTTGCCCTGTCACAAAGGTGCATGTCTACAAGACGGGAAGACCTGTAGTCAACCATGTGCTACGCCTCGTTCTTCTTGCAATCATCCTTGTCGTAGCCCTTGCCATGAAGGTATTTGCCCAGACACACCTTGCAAAGAAAAGGTAAATTTAATATATTGTTTACAGTGTTGTATATTTTATTTGAATATATTATGTTGTTATTTTTGACAGGTATTGGTTTCATGTCAATGTAAACTCCGTTCCACAACCAGAACATGTTCAGAAACGTCGCGCGATTATCAACGAATCGCTTCAAGCTTATTGGCTTCTAAAATGGCGGAAATGCAGAGAGGGGCTACAATTGACATTCAAGACATTCTTAATAATCGTAATGTTAATTTAAAAACGTGAGTAATAATAAGTACTAAGTGATTTATATTTATAATTATACTTCATTAAACACACACACACAAACACACATATATATATATATATATATATATATATATATATATTTGAATAGTCTTGAATTTGATGTTGATATATATGTTTAATTTGAGTTTAAATTCGGGCGTAACATCAATAAAAATAGTATGAGAGTTTTTTTAAAAGTTTATTTATTTAAAATCCATACGTTTCGGCTAGCATCTTAGCCATCATTCAGTGGTAATCAAATTAACTATAAAAATTGAAACTAAATAAATTATATGTAAAAATTACTATAATCTTGGAAAGTATGGGTGTAAATTATACAACTATACAAAATTATACAACTATACAAATTATACGGCCTTCCTAAAATACACAAAACAAACCTACCTTATAGGCAAATTATCCAAGTATATTAGTAACATCTTAACAACAATAACAAAACGATCCCCATATTACATAAAAAATTTCTTTAAGCTTGTCAAACTTCTTAATAACATTTCCATTCCCAATAATTATAAACTAATTAGCCTAGACGTTATATCCTTATTCAAAAATGTTCTACTAGACTTAATACTAGATGCCATCACTATCAGATGGAGTGAAATCAGCCTTCACACCACATTATCCCTACATTGGTTTATTGACAAATTCATTGTCTCTAACACCTATTTTGAATTTAATGGATCCTTTTATTACCAAATTTTTGGCCCCCAATGGGATCGCCCGCATCTCCCTCGTTAGTAGAAATTTCTTTGCAACTAGTAGAAAACAAAATATTTATAATTTATATTTATTTGATTAGCTTACCAAATTAATTCGGATACCAAAACTTCATCAAAACATTATAGATCACAATAAAAAATCGGCATATTGAATTTTAAATTAATCATAAATAAAATTTTGACAGTTCAAAAAAAAATTAACGACTTCAATAAGAAACAAATAAATCAATTAATCGAAGTTATGTTATAGGCAATATTGCCAAACAAATTATAGATACAAAACATTATTGTAAAATAAATATCATATTATATTAATTTTCAACCAAGAAGGAAATATTTTGACATTTATAAATTTAGTCCATATTGGATATATGAAATTGACATTCACTATTTTTCAATTAAATGCAAATGTAAAAAATCAAATATTTGTATAAAAAATTGTATATTTAGATAAAGATACTACGTTGATTTAGACTAAAATCTAATTTATTCATTAATTAAAAAATATGAAAAACAAAATTAAAATGTATAAAATTATTTATTTCTACAATATTCGTGTGTTGATTTAGCCAAACTTATTAATTTAACAATTACACAATTTATTAATTGATGACATAAAATAATTAATAATTTATTAAAAATATATAATATTTAGATATAAGGTCATTTAATTAGAGATATTTCTTAGTTGAAACATATATACAATATTTTATTGACACAAAATTACAATAAAAAAACACTATGATGCGATTTAATTAATTTTTGAAGTATGAAATGTCAAATAATTTTGAAATTTTTTTGAAGGTTTTTAACTATTTGTCAGAAAGAATATTTTATTACAAATTCATACCCATATCAAGCATCAAAGTAATAAATACTATTTATAAAATGACATATTATTTTTAGACAATATGATTTTATTGCATATTTTATATATATGTTTTGACATTTGCTAATTCAAAATAAATTAAAAAGAATTGAAAACAATGTCATAAATCGGATATTTATGAAAAAATATCTAATATATTAATGTTTCACTTGATTTCAAATTAGAAATATAAAAAAAATTAATTGCGATACCAAAATAGATAGTATACATATAAAATTATAGTATAAATATTACAATTTTAATAAATAATCATCCATTATTTTACAGTACAAAAATTGATAAAAATTAATAAAAGCGCCAAAAATCAAACTTAAAAAAAAAATTCATTGAAATCGATGAGTGTCTAATCATAAATTTATGGAAAAATTTCAAAGAAAATATTAAGGGCTTATAGCAAGTTCCCAATAGTATGTGATCTATGAAACCATTCCTAAATACATCATCATAGAACATGTTAAAATATTAGCAAGGTAAATAGAACGTAATACCAAATAGGATATAACAAATTTATAAAAGTCACTTGGTTATTCATTATAAATTTTGTAATGTACTCATTTATTCAAATCTTTAATTATTACATTTTATTTATTATTTAAGTTAAAATAAAAAAAAAAACACTTTAATCAATAGTATTGATCCATTATATTCAAATTTCAATACGTTTTTATTTTTTATATTATATTATTTTTATTATATACGGATTTAAATTTCAATCAGGTGGATTTTAATAAGGGCCGTCGCAGCGCGAGGCTGGGTATGCTGGTATATATATATATATATATATATATATGTTGAAAATGTTTAAATTTGATGTTGAAATGTATGATAGATTTCTTGGAGGGCGTAACATCAAGTAAAAAAAAGTAAAGTAAAGATTTTTTTCAAAACATCTTTATTTATCCATACGTTTCGACGTAAAATTCTACGTCATCTTCAGTGGTTCTACAATTTAAAAAACAGAAAGTAACGTTACAATTTGAATATACATAAGCAATAGTAAAAAGAAAAGTTTTAACTAAAGAGAATTGCAAAAAACATTACTTACTTGAATTATTTATATTATCACTAACACATATTAATATAACTTGTAAAAATTAATAATTATAGACAAGCACTAACTGTCAGTAATTTCTTTTTTTAATAAAAAGAATAAAAGATAAAAAGTGATTAATAAATAAGATATTATACGTAATACACTTGTATCCGAGGCCAGTGCCAAACAGAATAATATGTTTGTAAGTGTCCGAGATGTGAAGTCAAAATTTTAGAAAAAACAAACACATGTGCTGGTTTTTGACCGAACGTCTTGGCGCGCTAAGCAAGTGTGCGTGATAGTGTTGTGCAACCGTGGTGTTAGGTATTCGATATGAATTGGGAAACATTATTTAGAACAAATTGGTAATTTTCGCAAATGAAGCGAAACAATAATTTCGATTCAAGAAAATATAGGCCGATTCTGAAAAGCGCCTTTGTGAGACTTTCGATTCGTGATGAAGAACCTTTGCGTCATAAAAATTGAAAGTATGGTTATTTAGTTTTAAATGTTCTGTGATCATTGTTTGCCCTTGATTTTTGTTTTTTTGAATTATTATCGTGTTGTTTCAAACGTTTGATAAGGTTCTGTCCTGTTTCGCCAATATAGATGGAATCACAGTCATTGCAAGATATTTTATAGACCACATTGGATACTCGTTCTAAACTAGTGCGCGGCTTTAAATTTGAGAAGAGGGAGTTAAGAGTTAGATCGATGTTGCATACTAAACGGAGATTTGCGTTGTAAAAAAGTTTTTTCCACATCGGATAAAGTTCTTTGATGTAAGGAAGGCAAATGGTACCTTCAAAATTATTATCTTTTGTGGAAATTAAACTTAGGTTGGGGTTAGTTATTTTGTTTTTTAAAAAAGTGAGTCTATTGTTTGTGACGGATTTTATAAGATGTGGGGGATAGGAATTTTGTGTAAGGGTTTTGAAAATTAAATCTAAATTTGAGGTCCAAAATTGTTCGTTAGAAAGGAGGATAGCATGGTCTACAAGATTAATGATAGTACCTATTTTCATGTTAGAGGGGTGGTAAGAGTGAAAATTTAAGTACCTACCTGACCAAGTAGGTTTTTGGTACCAGTTAGTGATAATGCGGTTGTCTGATTTTGACATCCAAGAAGCTGATAGAGTTATTTTGTTCTTTTTCAAAAGTGAACTGAATGTGTTTGTTAAACGAATTGAAAGAATGAAGCAATAAGTCAAAATTTTGAGGAGGTATACAAGTGATAATGTCATCAACATATCTGTAATAAAAATAAATGTCTATGTTGATGGAATTAAAGACTCTAGTTTCTAAATGTTGTAAAGATAATTCGGCTAGGGCAGGGGATATAGAAGAGCTCATGGGAGTGCCAAAAATTTGAAGATAAAAATGGTCATTGAATTCAAAATATGTGTTCGTGATTATGAATTTGATCGATTCTAAAAACCAATGTAATGAAAATGTAGTATGGTAAGAGATTTCATCCCATCTAGCTGTTATAGCATCTAACATTAATTGTAAGGGGACGTTGGTGAAAAGGGAAACAACATCTAGACTCACTAATAGGGTTTCGTGGGGTAAGACTATATTATTTAATTTATTTACAAATTCAAAGGAATTTTTTATGAAATGAGGGGATTGGACAGTTATGATGGAGAGTATATTACTTAGAAATTTTGAGAATTTGGACAGAGGAGAATTTATGTCAGCGACTATGGGTCTGAAAGGAACGTCTTGTTTGTGAATTTTAGGGAGGCCATAAAGTTTGGGATTATAGGGATGTAAATTTTTTAAAGTGGATGAGAGGTCTTTTGAAATTTGTTTATGGGACACTAGGTTGTTGATTAATTTGTGAAGAGAACGGTTAATGCGTTCTGTCGGATCAGAAATAATTGGAGAGTAAGTATTGGTATCGGATACTAATCTTGAGACTTTTTCCAAATATGTGTGTCTATCTACAATAACTGTGACGTTACCTTTATCGGCTCTAGTTACTAACAAATCAGGATTATTTTTTAAAAAGGTTTTGCAATCTCTAATATCTCTCAGGATGTCTTTGTACTCTATATTTTTCTTTGAGTTAAAGGATTTAATAGCGGAAATAAAGTTTTTGCAAAAGGTAGCCTTTGTATTCATTCTTAGGTCTGTGTTTTTAATATTATAAAGACCTGCTTCTAAGCGACTTAGAATTTTAATGAAGTTGATGTTGTAACATGAATTGGGGAAAGCAAAATTTGGCCCCAAGGCAAAGATGTATAAAAAACTGTCTGGGATAGTTACATTGGAAAGGTTTTTTAACCATTTGTTAATGACTGATTCACTTAAAATGATTTCGGAGGA